CTTTCGCACTAATATTAGTAAGATCTTACCTAATTCCATCTCTTTATCTTCATCGTAATCTTTTTCCGGTGAATCTTCTGTTTCTATCATCAGATCAAAGAATACCTAAAGATAAAAATCATAAGATCTTCTTTAGAAAATTTTTGAACTTGCTCTCCGTTAATTTTCTATAGATTACATAACAATAACTATAGCCTATATAACTCAATGATAATGTAGTTTTTTTTATATTATAAGGTGGCAAACGAGCAAGCGGCCACCTGAATCCGCCTAAATAGCGAAGCGACCGCTGCCCATAGACATCCGCAATTGCAGATGCGTTGCCGACCCTTATCCGACGGAGGAGACGCACATAAAGAGTATATTTCCCCTTCCTACGCATCTCCTCCACCGTCAAATCCACTTCCTCTTCCCATCCTCTCCTTATGAGAAATGAGTGGTAAAGAGAAAGAGACTTAAATTAGGCCTCCGGCACACTTATCAGACGAAACACGGAATTGCTCCCACTTCACGCCTGTCTTCTGTGTGGTCGTGGTATTACACCGGGCGTGCCGACCCTGCAGTGCTAAGATGTTAAAGCGGGCACTACCACTGTAAATGTATGTTTACAAATGAATGAATCCAGTACAGTAGTTTTTGAGTTCACAAACAAAAATACCATTATTTCCTTTTTGTAATCACACCGTTGACTAAACTATCGCACAACAGTTGTGCGATTGTCAATTATTTCGTAGCCAATTCAACTGTTTAGTCGCACAACTAAATGGTAGTGTGCACACCGCATACAAGCACATAGAAAGCGTAAAACAGTTGTGCGATAGTTTAGTCCAAAGTGTACTTAAACCAATAATTATAACTTACAGTTTTCTGGCTGAATGTACTAAAGCTGTTGTCGAAACAGAATCTGTAATCCCCTTCGAGGTATGAGGTGTGTCGGTGAGCATTCTCGGGTTTCTTGTAATCAGCTACAATCACCCTGCCGACTGGGTCTGCTAATTGGAATGAGATGTCCAACTCCCCATGTGTTGCATCTATTACCTTGAAGTGAACAATATGTTAACACCAACACTCAAATATTAACTAAGAGTGACAGGAATATAGTCATCTCTTTTCTTCATGTATGGAATGTACAGGTAAGAGAATGACAAGTAGCTACTACACATCACAACCATCTCTCTATACATCCCCACCGAGGGGCTCAAAGCCCACCCTAAGTTAGGGGTGATTAGGCCATAGTTAATGTTGACTACACATGCTGGAGCTAAAATACTGTCGCGACGTCATCTATTGATGAGTAGCGAAAATCATATTCGAGGAATAATCGAGCTGTTTCCAGAATGTTCGATCGCCGCGAGCAGCGAAAATGACGTTCGCGAAAAGATGTCTCGAACATTCGAAACGGCTTCGAGAATGTTCCATTATGAAATTTATGTAATTCGGACTATCGAGAAAGTTCTGGAATAAAATGACAAATGAATAACGAAAAGAAGATCGAAATTCGGGGTATATAAGGGGAGACAGTCGTGACTCGGGAGTGATACGGTGGAAAGTGAACTGTGAAAAAGAAGTACTGAGCGAATTACGAGGAAGATTAAGTGACCGCAGAGTGAAAGTGCTAGTGAATAGTGACAGTGGTGTTCTGTAAAGTGCGCTGAGTTAGTGATTCAGTGTTTGCGTGCATCGTGTAGTCTTGACGGACGATTTGTGAGTGCAGTGAATCCCTGTTATTGTAAGTCGCGAATAAATTCTTTATTTCACTACTAAAAAATATACATTCAATGGGATGGCTCTTTCACTAGGTTACTATATACAAGAATGCTTCCTGTAATGCTCAGAATGTGTTAATAGGCCTAAATAACAAAGTTATAATTTGTGTGTGTTACGGGTTTTTGCCAGGGTTGAGGCTGTATTTGATCATTAAACTGCCTAAGACTAAAAACTGTCAAAATCAATTATTACAAGTGTCACATAAGTACTAGCCCCACAATACTATTTCTATGACACTTCCTGTTTTTATAACTTAGATATTATATGAGAGTAAATTACAAATTCCCAGCACTTTCTGTTATATAGAAAAGTTGGATGCCTAACTACAAGATGCTTATGCAAGTACTATCTGTATCTGTTTTTTAATATACAAATAGTTGAATAAGTATTGAAAACTCATGTTATATTCATTGTTTTCTTATCTTATGTTAGGAATAATAATATTGCTTGATATAACATTTATGAATGATAATAAAAATTTATATTCAATAAAAGCACACTTTTATAAGCGTTAGAGGTTTGACTTATTCAAGGTGAAGTTAAAAGTCACCTTGTAAAGGTATTACTGTCGGACCTAAATTTTTGGTAATAGAAAAGTATTACTGATCTACTATGTACTTCAAATATGGCATATAACCTCTTGTGCAGGTCCATAAGAAGAGGAAAGGAGCATTGATTGTACCATTTAAATGTTTGCATTCACACTTAGATTGTCAAGGCAAAACATAACAATATAACCTATTGCCCTTTGCTTTGATAACTTACCTGGTACTCAATGTCGATTATTTCATTCACTAGCACTTTCTGATAGAAACACTCGGTATAACCGGCTGGAACTGTAAAAGTCATGTCTTTTTCATACGCAAATACGACGCTAAATATACAAGCAACGAAAAAGTATCGCATTTTTAAATAAATACGTCGTTAAACTCTGTATAAAAATTGATGACAACTCCACTCTAATGAATGTATTTATAGGAACGGATTGACTGTTTGTGTTTATAAATAGAGTAATTTTACTACAGGCAAAATATTTATTTTATTTTGAGTCGGCGAAGGATGTTTACGTTCGGAAGTGGGTTGACAATTTTTTAATTACTGTCATTCTAACGTCAAACTTTTAATGTTTTTCAGTTTAAGCATCTGAAACATTTGCACTATTTTGAAATCTACTAATTTTATCATAGTACGCCGTTGAAAAATATTTTTAGGGCTAATAATTAGCTATATTATAAATAGAGGTTTATATACAAAACGTTTCGAGTCGTAAACGTAAATAAGAAAACTTTTTTCTCAGCCATAGATTTATTATTTGACATTTCAATTTTTTAATTTAGTCTACTGCAGAAAGTTTCTCTCGTGTCGTGGTTTATCTTATTTATTTACTTTCTAATAATACTGTTAAGTTATGTTGTACTTGTAACTAATAAACAATCTATCAAATATTCAAATTAAAATGTCTGGTAGTAGCACCACTACGCCAACAGGTGTTGTTAGGAGCAGTGCTTTATCTTTTGTTGCGTCTGCGCAGCCTCCGATAAATGATAATCCGGTGGACCCTTCCTTAGTTACGGGCCCTTCCCAAATAAATAATGAACAGATGATCGCAGCAGGTATGGTTCTATAATTATTTTACAGTTAAAACAAATTTTTTAGTCGTCTATTATTACGAGAAGGTTTAAATAAAGGGATTGGCTTTAATGATGACGTATTTCTATCCAGCTGGTTATAAAATTAAATAGTTGTCTATGATTTTTTTTTCAGAAAGGCTCGTACCAGCTGGACTGAAGGCACTTTGTGATGCTTACTCAAGATTATACCCTGAACAGCCTAATCCATTACAAGTTACAACCAGATTAAAATATTGGTAAGATATGAAATTATACATGGATTTGTTTATTTTAAGTTTGTGTCAACCCTAGCTTACATTAGTAATTTAGGGTTGTCAAATTATACCCATTACACTTAAGAATTTTGAGCAATTTTTAAAAGTATCTCTCTACTATCTTACAGGCTAGGAGGTCTAGATCCTCTGGACTACATCAGTATGTACTGGAACCCTGGAAAGCCTGAAGAGGATATTCCACCCCATTGGCACTATGTAAGGTAAAAACACACATAAGTTCACCTTATTTGTAAGGCTATAATAGTTTATAGAGAATACATGATAATCATAGAATGTAACATGAGGCAAATTTATAAATAATCACTGCAAAAATTAAAATTTCAATATCAGTAGTTACTTGAATAAAAATAACTAGCTTTTGCTCTTAACTTCTCTCGTGTGAAATTAAAAAATATAGTCTATGTTACTCACAGATAAATTACCTTTTTAATGGTGAAAGAATTTTTAAAATTGCCCCAGTAGTTTATGAGTTATTTCAATACACACAAAAATACAAATCTTTCCTCTTTATAATTTTAGTATAGAAATAAATATTAGATACCTTTAAAATTACGTTGTCAACAACAATCATTAAACAATTGTTCTGTATACAGTTTTGGTCTATCAGACCTGCATGGAGACGGGCGTGTGCACCCTGAAGGTGGTCCAGAGTCAGGTTATGGGTTGGAGCTGACGCTGCGGCTGGCGGCGACGGGACCTGCGCCTCTATGGCCCGCTGCACTACTCCAAGCACTCGCAAGATATGTCTTTACTACAGGTAATAACAGGGAATCTGTCAGTGTCCCACTTTATACTCACACTAGCTTTCACCTGCGACTCCTTCCATGTGTAATTAAAATAACAAATGTGACTAGCCTATGTGTTCTTCCATACTATCCTCTACATCTATACTAAATTTTATTGAAATCAGTATATCAGTTAAGGCTACAAACTAACATTCATCTAAACTTTCGCTTTTATAATATTAGTAAAATTTAAACACTACCAGCAACACCATATGCAGGTCTTATTAAATTGGTCGTAGGTAACAAGTTCTGTGCGGGCGACCACATATCCTGGCACGCGCCGCTCGATGGAGACTCCGAGTCCAGAGTTCGACATCTTCTGGTCGCTGAAGACCCTCAACTACCAGCAATAGATACTCCGCATGGCACTGTTAAATTTATTCAGGTAGCTTCCCGCGATTCATTATGGTATTAAAAATAAAACAAAAGTAGGGGCCTGCCCCAACATATTGTAAATTGTCGGATAACAATCTGACATGTAAAATATATAATTTAAATCGGTTTTCCGATTAAAATCCGATGATTTTGGTCCCTTATCTGACAATGACGTCATTTTTAATATCTGAGCCTCTATCAGCCAGTAATGGGACAAGCTCTAAGTAGCCTGTGTTCCAGACTGTAACAGTGGTAGTGCCCGCTTTAACATCTTAGCACTGCAGGGCTCGCCCCCAATACCACGTCCACACAGACAGGCGTGAAGTGGAAGCAATTCCGTGTTTCGTCCGATAAGTGTGGTGCCGGAGGCCTAATAGTATAGGCCTAATAGTAATAGGAGGCCTAATTTAAGTCCCTTTCTCTTGAACACCCTTTTCTTATAAGGAAAGGATGGGAAGGGGAAGTGTATTTGACGGAGGAGGAGATGCATAGGAAGGGGAAATATCCTCTTTATGTGCGTCTCCACCTCTGTCGGATAAGGGTAGACAACGCATCTGCAATTGCGGATGTTTATGGGCAGCGGTCGCTTCGCCATTTTAGCGGATTCAGGTGGCCGCTTGCTCGTTTGCCACCTTATGTAATCATCTAGATCTTCAGTAGTTTAGGTAAACTCTAACAAGCATCTAAACTTTCGTATTTATAATATTAGTATGATGTGAAAAAGCCTCACGGAGACAATATAGTTATTGGTATATATTTCAGATGGTAGGTTGTACAGGTCGGGAACTGAAGGCAGCTCAGAGAGGCTCCGGCTTTGATATATTAAAACTTATAGCTGAAGATCCAAGGTAATATATACTTCCTATCTTTACTGTCTATACTATTATAATAAAGCGTAAACACACACTTCTTTGTTACCTAAGATGTCAGCAATTACACCATATTTTTGAATAATTCTTTTTTTAATAAAACGCCCTACACTTAGGACACGCTTTAGGCTATATATTTTCACGCCATTAAACTTAGGGGGTGAATATTTTGGATAAAATCCCTAATGTGGGAAAGAGACCATAAATGGCTGCCAACATCAAGGAAGCAAGGTTGCCATGTTTTTCATGTCATGTCATTTTGACATTTGCTATTGATAATTTGACAAAAATAAACAATAAAATAAAATTTTATGAGGATGAAGCCGCACAGGAACAGCTGGTTAATATAAAGAGGAAAGAATTGTATTTTTGTATGTATTGAAATAACTCAAAAACTATTTGGCCGATTTAAAAAAAAATCACTATTAAAAAGTTACGTTATTAGTGAGTAACATAGGCTATGTTTTTTTATTATTTTTTAATTTTATGCATACGAAGTTGCGAGCAACAGCTTGTATGCAATACACATTACAATAAATTAGATAAAATTACTTGTATACTTTACTTGATGTTGCTCGCGACTTCGTCTGCGTTATAATAAAAAATCTGGCCTATGTTACTCACTCATAACGTAGCTTTTTATTGGTGAAAGAATGTGT